TGATTCTCAAGATTACCCAAACGTTCTCCTTTCAGCACTTGTCTTGGAGCAGAATTACTTTTCCCGGTTTAAATTTGAGAAGAAAATCCGATTTCCTCAGATTATCTATTCCTTATCTGACATGAATTTGCCGTGACCAATCTCTTAGACACAAACTTATGAGTTTACATAATCATAATGCAGCAGGAGTCAAAAGCAGAGACAAGAGAATGACCAAATAGATCTGAAAATAACAGGGTCCATTAGTGGCCACACAGAGATGAAAGCCAACTGCCATCATGACAGTGTTCAAGTTTTATAATTAACTCAAAGTTCTATTAGATCATATGACCATGAGCAGCTTGTGCATTATCTTTTTATCTTGCCCAAGACAGCATAATTCCTTAGGGAGGACTACACATTCATATACATATATATATATATTTTTTTTAATCCAAAATTGGCAGATCAAGTTCTTTAATGACAAGTCAAGTTAATTTCAAGAGTAATACAATGACAAAAAATTATGACTCTCGATTGGTAGAAGAGAAACATTTTATGACACTCAACAGCTGACAGACAGAGATATGAATAGTTTATCAGCTGAGTTTTGATTATAAAGAGCGTAAAACAGTGGCAGAATTGCTATAAGACAATTCTCATTACTGCTCAGTGTTGAGGGTCATACAGTGTAAAATGGCCTGTAATGTGGCAATCATAAAACAAGAGTGATAAGCGAAATGAAGATTCTTGTGCAAGAAGACACACAATCATGAGTGTTTTCTGCTTAACAAGCACCCAAGTAATCTGCATCCTGTCTCATACAATCACACAATAAAACAGTGATAAAAATTCACACAATCCTAAAATCTTTTTTGCTGTGAAATGCAGATATCAAAGTTACTTTTAAACATTGGTTAAGAGGTGCATTATAGTCATACCAACCACAAAGCACATACAGCACAAGCAACAATCAATCCAACAGTTTGATATCTAACATGTCTTACAGCTGATCAGATAAGAAAAGGAAACTGAGCCTTGATAGAAACTTATTAGTAAGGTTTATCATTGATGATTCATACTACAAAGAATATGAAAGAACCAGGTAAGGCACAAGATGGAGGAGCACACTGCATTGCTGAATTCTAGCTCTTTTAAGAATTTAGAACTAAGACCATAGAATCCCTTGAATGTTTTGAAAACACTTCCAGATGATCTGAGACTGGAATCTTCCACTTACAACAAAACACCTTTCAGTGCAGTACCTAACATAATGTTGTTTATACTCAGATGAGGACATGTCTCATGGTCCTGGCTGTTCAGTAACTTAAATGAACCCAAAAGTCACAACACTTAAGTTTCATTAAAACAGAGGATTCAGCAACAAGCTGCGGGTGTCCATAAACAGAGGCACAATTCCACATCAGCAATATTACAAGCGTGCAAGTTACATATTAGCATGCAAAAAAATGCCCAAAACATTAATATATTACCACTGATGCTGAAATGTATTATATCATGCAACTTTGTAATCTATTTTTGTTTTCAGATAATTTAATATTTACATAGGCCTAGTAGGTTACTAAAACGTAGCACATAATTGCGTATTGAGTATTTTTTTAAATCCCTAGTTTATTTCGTCTCTATTAATTAAAGGCTGTAGGCTATTACTCCTGTGAACTGAACAAAATCCCTAAATAAGACAAGAAAATATATACAGCGTTCATAGTCATTTCGTTTTTAAATGTAATTACATTTCTCACGTTTCAACGTATCTTTACTTTTGCAACCATTCATCGCTTTTACTTGCCATCAAGTCAAAGACCAACGCATGCCGAACTGACAGGTAAGACAAATAACAAAACGCCACAGGTAACACGTGAGCATGCAGCGCCAGAGTATCAGTCACTTACCGCAGTCGTGCATTCTTGAACTCCACACCTGAAACACTGATAACTACCTCAGGATGATGATGCAGATGAACGCCGTGGACAGTTTGAATGAGTGTGAAACCTAAACCAAACAGGCGGTCCTCAGCCTCCTCAAACTGCTGCCGCTACCGAGCGCCTCCCACAGGTACCGCGCACCTTAACTCGACCTTTATAACCTCACCTACAACTATGCAAATACTAGTGATTGATCAACCTTGAATTGAAGAACACAGATTATTTTAGAAAAAAGCTCAACTTGAATATATATTGCATAATATGGACACATATTTTTTATATCAATAGGCAATTTCTCCTGAAAGATTTGTTCAAATGAGAGCTCACATACGTTTACATAAATTTTGCAATGTGCAGATTTCCCTTTCATTAAACCCTAGAACTTTCTGAATGCCAGAAAAGAAATTCAGCTCTCTGTTCATCCTTCCTTCCTCACAACCCTTCATCTGCTGACACTGCTAAAGAGAAGGAATGGGTAAAAAAAATGCTTGCAAAACTAAAGATGAAGAAAGGTTTTAAAAGAGTAGGGAGGGGGGGTAATTATAGAAATAATACTAAACAAACATATCTATAAAAATATGTCAGTGTGTGTTATTGTTTGTCTCAAGGTGCACATCAGTAATGTTTTTAAGGTACATTTATAAAATAGAGCTACTTATATGTCCTAACTATGGCCTAATCCTGTTTTATAAACTCTGTCTTTGAAACCAGGCCAAAGGCTATTTGCACATGAAGTTCATGTATTTAGGCTATGTTTTGACCATATAGTCTTACTCTAAAATGATCATTTTCATAATTTTAAATACTAAATAATAATAGGATTTAAAAAAAGGAATATTGTAATTCCAGATTAGCTGGCGAAGTATTACTGTCTCTAGACCAAGAAGTTTTACTGTGGTTTTGAGGTTACAGATACAGCCCATATAGTATAAGTCTCCTACAGTGCCCCAAAAACAGGAAAAGAGGAGAAGAGTGCAGTTCATGCCCCCTCCACCTTCCTGAGTGAGCTGAGGGGAAGTGTCTGAAACATTAAAAAGTGGTGTTCTCAGCACATAGCTGTAGTGTACAGGACAGGATCTATGTTCATGGACCTCTACTTTGCATGGCCAACATTCCTCTTTGACTCCACATAAAGGCACCATCAGAGCTGTATTGTTTTGTGACATGGTTGAATTTGATGAGTGAAGAAGGCAGCTGACTTGGCACAGATGAGGTGCAGGCTGCTGATAGGTCATTCATTTTGAAAGTAGGAATCTAGGCTAAAGTAAATACTTTTCTATGTTTATTACATGTTTGCACCATCAAATAATTTATTTGAAGGAACTTGACCATAAGTAATAAAGTAATACTTAATTAATAATTATGTAAATAAGTATAGAGTAGGTAATGCTTCTCACCACAAACATCCATAAATGGGATTGTGCATTAAAGGGGTCATATGATGCTGCTAAAAAGAACATTATTTTGTGTATTACATGTAATGAAATGTGTTTATGCGGTTTAAAGTAAAAAAAACACATTATTTTCCACATACTGTACATTATTGTTTCTCCTCTATGCCCCGCCTTTCTGAAACGCGTCGATTTTTACAAAGCTCATCGGTCTGAAAAAGCGAGGTGTGCTATGATTGGCCAGCTATCTAATGCGTTGTGATTGGCCGAATACCTCAAGCGTGAGACGGAAATGTTACGCCCCTCACCATACTGTGTTGATGCCGTGTCCAAGGAATATTGTAATTCCAGATTAGCTGGCAAAGTATTACTGTCTCTAGACCAAGAAGTTTTACTGTGGTTTTGAGGTTACAGATACAGCCCATATAGTATAAGTCTCCTACAGTGCCCCAAAAACAGGAAAAGAGGAGAAGAGTGCAGTTCATGCCCCCTCCACCTTCCTGAGTGAGCTGAGGGGAAGTGTCTGAAACATTAAAAAGTGGTGTTCTCAGCACATAGCTGTAGTGTACAGGACAGGATCTATGTTCATGGACCTCTACTTTGCATGGCCAACATTCCTCTTTGACTCCACATAAAGGCACCATCAGAGCTGTATTGTTTTGTGACATGGTTGAATTTGATGAGTGAAGAAGGCAGCTGACTTGGCACAGATGAGGTGCAGGCTGCTGATAGGTCATTCATTTTGAAAGTAGGAATCTAGGCTAAAGTAAATACTTTTCTATGTTTATTACATGTTTGCACCATCAAATAATTTATTTGAAGGAACTTGACCATAAGTAATAAAGTAATACTTAATTAATAATTATGTAAATAAGTATAGAGTAGGTAATGCTTCTCACCACAAACATCCATAAATGGGATTGTGCATTAAAACTGACATCTTACATTTATAAAACATTCACCAAAAGAACAGGCACATTCTCAAAAGTCTGCAAGTAAACACTTTTGGACTTCTGATATGTCAATAGTATTTATTTGAGATTTCAACATGCGTCTGAAATCAATGGTCTCATGGTCAGAAAAAAAAGGTTTACTTTTACACTAAACTGAACTGAAGTGGAACTAAATTGAGGAAACATAGAAATCGCATACTTATTTGTATGTACTTATTTATACATATTTATTTTACTTATTTGTTTGAAGAATTTGTTGTATTATTTAAACATATTTACCTTTTAAGTACTTCACCCAAATAGAACAAACAGAATGTAATCCTAGGATTGGGTAACATTTTATTTTATGGGTAGTTTTTATTTAGTAATGTATTTGCACGTTCCTCATCTTTTATAAAACTACTATATCAAATACTCTTTTTGTAGCGTAGACATATGAATGATTTGTACTTAATACAGAGAATGCTAAAAGTATTTTAAAACAAGACAATACAAATTCTGTGACAGGTACAAAAAAAAAGGCAAAAACAGCTTGAAATACATTAGTCAGATAGTTAAACACAAGACGGTTGCGGTAAAAGTCGCGTTATCACATGATTTCAGATATCTGGGAAAGCGCAGAGATATACACAAACCTTTGGAGACACACACATTTCCAAACCTCTTGGCAATTCTAAAAAGCTTGATGTTAATTATTAACCTTGAATCGATGCTTAAATATAAGAGTACAAATTCCTACACACATTCAAAGGACCGTCCAAAGCTTCACCATGAAGGCTTTAGCTGCTTTATGTGTAACAATATGCATTCTTTATCAAGTTAATGGAAAGAGCATAACGGACCACATGTATGTATAATCCACAAAAATTGGAGTGCATGCTACACTAATAGATTTGGAAAATGCGGGAAATATTTTTTTTGTGTGTGTGTTAGACCAAAGTCATGCACTAGAATGGAGTTGGAATTGTAAGTGATAATTATTTATCTTTCTCAAAGGCAAGGGTCAAGACGAGAGGTTCGGGAAATTAATGATCCCGGATCAATCGACTGCAAAATGAGTGCCTGGTCCCAGTGGACGTCCTGCGACCCGTGCACTAATAGGACGGTACTGTAATTCCTGTTCTCTCTCTGTTTCTCTTTAAACACCTATCTTGTCATCTGTCTCACACTTGTGAATGTATAACGTCTTTCAAATTGTCATGTGAAATCATTCTGATTGAATAATAATCCAACAAGTCGCACAACATAATCTGTGTCTGTGTAACACAGCATCGCTCTAGAGGTATTGAGGTCTTTGGGCAGTTTAAAGGCTCTAGGTGCATAAACCCAATTGGAGAGCGGAAACCCTGTAAACCTTCTACCAAATGCCAGATGGACCCTCCACCTGTCTGCAAGAGCTCTCAATGGTGGTGCTCTTCAGGTTAGTATTTTTTTCTCTTTGCAAAGCTGGCCAGTAGAAATTCAGTTGTATAGGATGAATTTTTAAACAATATTCAGTATTAAGAATATTATTCTGCCCTAAGGAATATGTATAAATAAAAATCTGAGGTGTAACGGGGATAACGACTGTGGAGAGCCTGATAAGTCTGATGAAGATGAGTGTGATATCATCAGGACACCTTGCGGCAAGACAGCTGTATTTGAGTCTGATATAGCCATCCAAGCTGGATACGGGTCAGAGCCTTTTGTATCGCTCAATATTTGCTCATAATATTTTAATTAAAGTTCATTTGTTCAACATATACAAATGTTGTATTAATGAACATAAGGTTTTATTCAGCAAGAATACATCAACTTGATCAAGAGATATTTTGAAAAAAAAAAATCATCAAAGAATTCTGAAACAAAAAAAGCTGCTGTAAAATATTGTTTATTGCTATTTCACATTGGGGTTTGCATTAATTAATGGTAACATACACTCTTGCAATTTCTTTAGGCATTATGGAACAATGAATAAAAAATTTTTTTTTAACTGTAATTATGAAATAGAATAAAAGTAATGACTGACAACACAAATGTTGCAATTAACACTACAGTTCTGGATATACAACTTCAGCACATTTTCTAAAAATGCTTAATTCCTGTCTCAACAGAATAAATATTCTGAGATCTGAACCTCGAATGAATCCCTTTAATAACAGATTCTATAACGGTCAATGTAACCGGATCAGAGAACCATCCACATTGGAATATAACAGACTGCCTTGGAATGTTGGAGTTCTCAACTATGAGGTGGGTCTCTCATTTTACTGTATGCTTGATGTCAGCTGTTGTTTTACAAAGCTTTTGAGCATAAAAGGAATAGTTCACCTAAAAATGAAAATTTGCTGAAAATGTACTTACCCTGAGGTCATTCAAGATGAATAAGTTGCTTTGGAACAGATTTGGAGAAATTTTAGCAGTACACCACTTGCTCACCTGTGGATGCCCTGTGAATGGGTGCCATCAGAATGAGAGTCCAAATAGCTGATAAAAGGACACAGTAATCTTCTGAAGCAAAAAGCTTTGTGTTTGTAATAAACAAATCCATCAGGACATTTTTTAACTTCAAACCATTGCTTCCAGCTAAAATAGGAGTCATCTATCTATATTATTGCTTTCTCAAGTGAAAGGTTCTCTCATCTGAATCAGGAGATAAATATGCACAGATAAAGCACTGTTTTGGTGTGAGAGGGCAATAAGTGACTTTTTCACTGAAGACAGCGTTATTATGGTTTATGGACTCTTATTTTGGCCAGAAGCAAAAGTTTTAATTTAAAAAGCTGTTTGGACTCTCATTTTGACAGAACCCATTCACTACAAAGGATCAATTGGTGAGTAAGTGATGTAATGCTAAATTTCTCCAAATCTGTTCTGATGAAAAAAAGACAACTCTTGGAGGTACATCTTGGATGGCCTGAGGGCGAGTAAATTTTCAACAAATTTTCATTTTTGGCTTTACTGTTCCTTTAGCTGTAAGGCGTGAGCAAAACAAACTGTAAATCTCCTAAAAATGACTGTGAGACAAACAAATAAGTAGTTAAATGCATTTAATTTCTGACAAAGACAACCATCTAAAAAAAATTTAAAAAGTCTTTACCTGTTTCCTTATCCTCAGACAAAAGTGGAAGAGAGCAGCTCTAAGGAGATGTATGAGGACATTCACTCTTTAATAAACGAGATATCTAGGGAATCCTCTACATCTTTTGAAATAGGCTTAAACTTCAAGTTTACACCTACTGAGCCCTCCAGTTCTGGTTCAGGTGAGGCTGATGCTGGTGGAGGTGGTGAAGTTGCCGGCCCCAGCGAGGGCGGTGAAGCTCAAGGTCCTGGTGAGGGCGGTGAAGCTGAAGTTTCTGGTGCCTACCTTCTTAGTCCGCTTCTACTAAAAACTAGAGGTTGCACCGACTAATGGACTAGTCGACTTCAATGCTCTGCCACGGCGCTTTAAGCTTGACGTCGACTAGTCGCTGGTCCTATAGAGGGCGCAACAGGATAAGAAATCTTTGAAGGACTTCCACATTTACGCTCCGTTTCCAAACAGTTAAAATTACAAATAAATGCATACTCTGAAAGCGCTCCACAAGACATGTGTGATTATATTACTGGATGCTCGAAATTGAATCCTGGTGAGGGCGGTGAAGCTGAAGTTTCTGGTGCAGACCAAAGTACTGGTCCTGGCTTAGGTTTTAGTGCGTCAGTAGGATTTGACACTAAGCAATCAACAACAAATATCATCAAACAGCTGTCAGAAATCACAACGACCAAGGTGAGATTCAGGTTTACTGCTTGTTCTCTTTTGAAGAGCTATTTGCACTTTATTCATTATAATTAACATCTTAGGCTCATGAGCCACCATTTGCATAGAACAGGCTGGAATTCAAAACTGTAAAAAAAAAATTATATATATATATATATATATAT